CTAATATAAGATATGTGACTTATATATATATATATATATATATATATATATTATTAAATTCTCCTTCTCTAGTAGTAGGAGAAATAATCTTTAAATAAAAATGACCCAAAAAAGGGAAGAAAATACATCATTATCCCTTGTTTAGGGAAGCAGTTTTAGGAGTTCATAAACTTAGTAATCTAATTAAAAAGTAAAAACGTTGTAATAGTACCAGTATCCCTCGTTTAAGGGAGAAATTTTAGGAATTTATGAACTTAGTAATGTAATTAAAAAATAAGAAGTTCTAATAAATTTTATTTGTTTTCTAAAAGTAGTTATAACTTTTATAAATAAATGTTAAAAGAAGTTGTATTCTGTGTAAATTCATCCTCAATAAATGAGTTTGATCCAGAAGTTGGGTCCAAGGATACAATACAACTAGTGAAACTTCTTATATAAAAACCATTAAAATTTAATTTTTAGCAATAAACTCGAATTTTCGCAAGAGCTCAGTTTGTGAATCGTAAAGAATAGTATAAAAGAGACAAAAATTTAGAATCGATACGTTATTTTGGTAGGGACGAGTATTTAAGTACCTTGAAGTATGTTTTTAATATTAACAGACCTATCTAGTGCCAATAGGTCCTTTCCAATAATTAAGCATCTACTAGCAGTCTCTATTGCTGTTTTCGGTTGACCCTCGGCTTAGTAAAGAAAAAGGAAGGGCAACAACAAACACACCAATTAAAAAATTGAAGCGAAAGTACAGAACTAACAATAGGTACTATAATCAGAAAGCCGAAACGGAAGCAAAACAAGTAATAACAACAGTCAAAGAATACAAAACTACACAAAGGACACTAAGTCATGTAGTACAGCTACATTAAATAAATATTCATATTGTTCTAAAAAAGATGACATGTCTCCTCTTCTCAAATAATAACATATTAAACACTAACTAATCTAAAAAAATAGAATTAAGAGAGAGAATATACGAAAATTAAAAAAAAATACCACCGAAGAATGTAGTGCAGTAGATGAGGCTGCTCTTCCCTTAACTAAAGGTCTTGGGTTCGAACCTTAGGTATGAAAAATCCTTAGTAGGGAGCGCCCCCCCTCCCCCCTCCCCGAGTAGGGTCCTACGCGGCGCGGATCCGAATATAGTCGGGCTCCAATATAAATACCGAATATCGAGGAGAACAAAACAAATATTAAAAAATTAAGCTCCACCAGTGACACTACCATTAAAGATCTCAATGGTGTCACCTTGAGAAACATGATGCCATCTAAAAGAACGATCATCATCCATCACATTTTGCTTATAAATAAAAAAATACCCTTCTTTTGGAAGATCTAATTCCAATTTTTGGTTCAATATTTGTAGCTCTTTTCTCAAGTGTCCCACATTGTCTGACGGATTAACTTCGATAGGAAATTTCTTCGTACCACATTTAGACAAAACCAAAATTCTTATTTTCTTCGATCCGTTTATATTATTTCCTGATGATGATCCTGAAGAAATTGTTGTCGTAGACGCCGCGATATAATTAGGCTTAATTATACTAACATCAATTTCTGAATTATCAGAAAGTCCATAATCTTGTAGACTTTGATTATCAATCAATTCAATTCCATTAGCATACATTACTAATTTACTCACATGTACACCTTCCATATCGTGAATTCTCTCTTTTACCCTTCTAACGCTATCCGTAACGTTCATTTCTAGGGCAATTCCTAGTTTTGACGACGTTGGCATCTTGACGAGGAGTTGGATTTTCTTCCTTGGAGACGACTGTTCTGCCTTGATGATATTAATGTTCTTGTCCGATTCGGATTTGGATTCGGATTCTACGATGAGTTGAATGTGAGAATTATTGAGGATGTCGGAATAATGAACATTTATATGATCGTCTAGGATGTTACCTTTGAAAATTAATGTTTGTTTTGGAACAGGAATGCCTTGATATTTTTGGATTTTTTCTTTGATTTCTAAGATAGAGTCGAAGTAGCCAACTTCAATTGCAAATGGCCTTCCTTTTGTTGGTTGAAAGAACAAATCCATTTACACAATCTTTTCTCCTTAGAGTAAATTCTGCAGTATTTGTTAAGAGCGGCTCTAGGGTAAGGCAAGTGAAGCAGTTGCCTATATTTAAGGCCTCTAAAAACATAAAGCAATATTATATTATTATATTATATATAAAATTTATATTTACATAATTATTAACAAAAGATTTTAAAATTTAATATTTTTTAAAATTTGGTAAAAGTAGATTATGTTAATTATTAGGATTAATTTTTTCTTACTTTAAATTAAATAATATATTTACCTTTTCATCAATTCTATTTTTTTTCTTTTATGTATAGTCTTTTATCATATTTTTTGCGATTTTATTTTTTAATTTTAACTCAAATTCTCTAAATTAACTATTTTTGTCATATTTGATTGATCCATACGTCAGAAAGCAAGTTTTTCTGTGTCTTATTTTTTTAAATAAGAAATCCCTGAGACAAGTGTTATAAGGTTCAAAATAGGATGGATAATGGGTTCACCCCTTTACTATTTTCACTTAAAGGGAGAGTTCAATAATCTATAACGTGCACCTAACACACACATCATACTTTGCTCTCACTACTAGGTCAAAGCCATGTAGAATTTTTTTAGTCAAAAATAAAACTAGGTCAAAGCCATGTAGAATTTTTTTAGTCAAAAATAAAACTAGGTCAAAGCCATGTAGAATTGTTTTAGTCAAAAATAAAACTTTCAAAGGTTAAATTAATAAAAAGAGATAAAGGAACATTCAAGAAGATATGATTTTGCAGCTAAATCTAAGGACAGTTACAACAAAATCCGATATTGTATCTGCATGAGTTGTCTCTATATTTTCACATTCTTTAAATTCAATTTCTTTTTACAATTTTTACAAAAGGTAAGAATTTAATTTTCTTATTTTGTTGACAAGATAATTGTGATTTATATTCTAATAAAGCATTCAGCATTTTTAGAATGTCATTTATTAGATACAAAATGGACAAGTTGATAAATAAAACTACAAATGCAGGTAAATCCTACATTTACGTGAGATTATAGGAAAATAATTAATTCAATCTTTTTATTTGGAAGTTTATAGGATATGAATAATCCTCTATATTTGCTCCGCTTTATTCGACCTTATTTCACTTCAATATTTAACATTTGGTCCTCTAAGGCAAATTAAAATAAGAATTTTCTAGACTAGATATTTTTTAAATCTTATTCTACAAATATTTAACCAAACAAAAAGCTCCTGGCAAATGTGCTTAGCCAAATATCACAAGGATCAAAGTAAAAGTTCGTCAAAACTTGAGGGACTAAGCTTAAATTTTTCAATATAGATAAAAAAGACTCTATAACAATAAATATTTTAATAGAATTATAATAAATCAGTTTCCATTATAGCTTGTTTGGATTGTTGTTATATGTTGTTTCATAATATATCGTATTGTATTGTACTGTATTGTTTAATGAATACAATGTTTGGATAGATTGTATCGTTTGTCATCGTTTCATGATGTCACACACCAACAATATGAAGAATAAACTTGAAACATTACTAAGAAAAAATTGAATATGGAGTAGAATTATCGTATAAGAAAGTAGGTAAAGGATAAAATATGATTATTTAATAAAAGGAAAGGCACGATGAGAGAAAAAAGCAAGGTAACGATGTCATCATACCAAATTCGCCGCTCCATAAACTGGCACTTTTCGTTGTTACATAACGACGAATTTAATGATACGATACAATAAAATTTCTTATTGTTTAATGGATTGTATTGTACTGTATTGTTTAATGGATGAGAGAAAAAAAAAAAGCAAGGTATTGTATTATATTGTATTGTTTAATGGATACAATGTTTGGACAGATTGTATCGTTTGTCATCGTTTCATGATGTCACACACCAACAATATAAAGAATAAATTTGAAACCAGTGGCGGAGGTATAGTGTTGTGATCGGGTTCGGCTGAACCCAGTAACTTTGATTCGAATTGTGTATTTTGTCTTAAAAATCATTAAATATATATAAATGATTAATTTAGAACCCCGTAACTTTTAACGATTAGAATCTCTTACCCATAAGCTCGAAATCTTGGCTCCGCCTCTGCTTGAAACATTACTAAGAAAAAATTGAATATGAAGTAGAATTATCGTATAAGAAAGTAGGGTAAAGGATAAAATATGATTATTTAATAAAAAGGAAAGGCACGATGAGAGAAAAAAGCAAGATAACGATGTCATCATACCAAATTTATCGCTCCATAAACTAGCACGATTCGTTGTTACATAACAACAAATTTAATGATACGATACAACAAAATTTATATAACAATCAAAACAAATATTATTTTTAAAATAATAGTACGAAACAATACAATAGGTATATAACAACCCTCCAAACAAGATGCTAGTTTCGAAATAGAAGTTGACAACTCAAAAAAGTAAATTAGCACCTATTTTTCCCCGCCACCCCACCTCCAACAAACAGGAGAACTAATACCTTTTTTGGGATCCATCTAAGTTTTTCCCTTCTGAAGTATATACCTTGTAATTTCTTATTTGGTACTATTAGATATTTGTATTGGGGTTCGATTAAATTTGAATTTATATTGAGAAATTCGATATTATAGAATAAAGCATCCATAACAAAGATGATTTGATACCCAGGCTCGAATCTTTATGGGTGGAATTCAAAAATAGTTAGATTTAGAAGTGATAATTGAAAAATAGCCATAGTTTCAAAAGTAATCAAAATTTAGCCACTTTCATGTAAAGATAAATCTGAACGAAAACATTATTCAAAATCCGGAAAATATTCTAGCATAATATACTGGAGTTCGAATTTTTTACATGCGAACTTCCAGCATAATATAATGGAGTTCCAACATAATATATTGGTCCAGCATAATATAATGAAATTTCATACAAAGGTGCTCCAATCTCCAATATATTATGTTGGAACTTTCCGTGTGTTGAAATTCCAGCATAATATGTTCTTACACAAGTACATCAATCTCCAGTATATTATACTGGAACTTTCCGTGTTGCAACAAAATAATGACTATTTTTCAATAACTTTATAAACGCTAACTATTTTTCAATTAACATCCCGAAAACTGGCTAGCTCCTGCTGTTCCACAATCTTTACTAGAGATAGGCCTCTAATTTTTTTTTTTTGTAAAACATGCCACATGTAAATAGTTCATTATCGTAAAGTATGATAATAAAAGCAAAAGCATGTGAATATAAAAAAGCAAGCACTACAAGAACTTTGGTGGAAGAATGTATACCTAATTATTACTTAATCAAATAAATTAAGTGTCTTGCCTTACATTAACTTATCTTCATGAAAGCAAAACCTGTATTAGCCTAGTATTATAAGTTTTGGATTAGTACCATCTATTAAAAATTTAAAGAATTAACTTAAAAGATAAATTATATTTAGTGGGTGTGCTTTTCTAAGTGGTGGGCAACAAATGAGAGTGAGTACGATTAATAACTTAATTATTTTTAGTACATCTAAGTAGGTCCTTAATAAAAGGTTAGTACATGAATAAAAGAATTCGTTCGATATTAATTTTTTTTTAATCTCACGAAAAACAAGCTCAACGATATATTTTTTTAATCATGTTCGCATCAAAAGTAAGTGCCTCGAGCAACGTACCAAGCGGCAGGCAACGGACATCTGTCGGTAATTTTTGGGATTAAGGCAAAAATCTGTTTTTAATCTGTGATTAGTGTTGGGTGTTATGGAGTCACGTGCAGATTGTGTGATGGACTTAGGGGACAAATAAAATTGAAAAAAGAAATGGTTTCTAATTTAAAAGTTTTTAAAATTAACCTAGGATGTGGGGTTTAAAGATGGGATTAAGTACAAAAGTGTTCTTGGGCATCTCAAGTCATGGAGATTAGTGAAATGCCACTGTTTGCTCAAAAATCAAAATAATGAACTGGAAAAATGGTTAAAAAAACACATATATACATATATACATGTCCAAAACTAGTTCGAATATTAGATTGTTAATGGTCTTTAGCAGAGGCGCATGTAGCATATAGGTGACGGGTTCAACTGAACCTATAATTTTCGATGCAAAATTTTAATTTATGTGTAAAATCTATTAAAATTGTAACAAATAGTAAATTTGAACCCATAACTTTATAAATATAATGAGTTCAATGCTAAAAATCTTAAAGCTGAATCCATAGAGTTTAATAATAGATCTGCCTATGATCTTTAGGTAATAGTCCTAATATTAAATTGTTGATGGTCGATAACTAGAAAATCACTATAATATAGGCAAAATACATAAGTTGTCACCTGAATTATGACCCAAATCTCTGTTACACATTTTCCAGGAACGAATATTACTTTACACACCCAACCTTTCCAAAGTGTATCTAAGACACACCATTTTTTTCTTAACCAGTTTTTCAGAATGTGCAATATCACACACCAATCAAACAGTGACACGTGTCATTTTAAAAAAAATTTAAAAAATTAAAATTGCAATTATACCCCTCATCTTCCTCATCTAAACTACCATGGCCGTCTTCCTCCTCTCTCACCATCAAACACCATAGCTTCTTCCTTCACCTTTTACTTAATAACAAAGCCACCATTAATTAACAAAAATTATCAGAAAACACACCCAAAACTCCATCTTTTCCGCAGAAATTGAATCAAATTAAATTTAGCCCAGATCCAACTCATTTTTCATTTCACTTCTATAAAAGTTCGACCGCTATTAACTGCCATCGCCACAAGTCAACTATTTAAAAAATCATCCATTAATAAAATTAAAGAATGTGCAAAATCTTGAGCTAAGCTTTAATGGTTGGAAAACATTTCGAAAAATTCTCGCTTCCTAAAATTTGACTTCGCCATGGGTAAAACTCAAGTTAAGCTTCTCTACAACGAGAAGAGATATAAGAAATCGTGGTATATCTATTTGAGGAGAAGGAGATCGGGTGGTGGAGCTCATGGAGTAGCTATGACAGAATTTTAAAAAAGGAAGAAGATAACTCA